ATCATCAGCATCATCCTCAGCATCATAATCAGCATCAGCATCAGCATCGTCATTAGCAGCATCGTCATCGTCGCAGTCGTCATCGGCATCGGCATCGGCATCACCAGCATCAGCAACAGCATCATCAGCATCATTATCATCATCAGCAGCATCGTCGACATCGTCATCATCAGCATCATCATCATCAGCATCATCATCATCCCCATCCCCACGCTCGTACACACACACTCCCACTCAGACTCGTACTCGAAAGCATACTCATATACTCATATACTCAGATTCCTGCTCCTCTTCGCCCTCATCCTCCTCTTCCTAGTCAGCAGCATTTGCATCAACACCACCCTTGGCTGTATCGACACCCTCATCTTCTTCAACAGAAATATCCGCATCATCATCGTCACCATCATTGTCATGAACAACACCATGATCTACAACATCATCATCATCATCATCATCATCATCATCATCATCATCATCCACATCATCGTCAGCATCACCATCATCGTCATCATCATCAGCATCATCATCATCATCATCATCATTCACATCAGCATCTTTTTCAGCATCATCATCATTAGCACCAGCAGCAACATCAGTTTCGCAGGCTTGGTAACAATTGCCGCCATCACCATCATAACCATCATCATCACAAACATAAACATCAATACAAACGGCATCGGCATCACCATCGCTATCATGATCACGCGCGCACCCGTGATTTTCCTTTTTCCCGCACCCTCCGTCATCTCCTGCTTCTCCGCTCCGTCCTCCTGTTCCTCACTCCTGATCCACATCTTTATGTTATTCCTCATGAGTTGTCCTCTTCCTCCTTCTCACCGACATCCATGGAGGCCTGGCATTCTTGCTGCAGCAAGCCAGTTGGGAGAGAGCGCGCCCACAGGGCCCGAGCAAAGGGGAGGGGGGGCTAGGCTTAAGCTACCCCCCCCCCTCCCTTGAGCCGCCCTCGTTGGAAGCACCCCCCCCCCCCTCCTCCCATTTTTTTTTGCAAAAAGGGGGGGTGGGGGGGGGTACAGCTACCCCCCCCCCCTCCCCCCTTGGGCCCTCCCCAGAAGCTACCCCCCCCCCTTTCCAAAGGGGGGGGGGTGCTTAAGCTACCCCCCCCCCCTCCCTTGGCGCTGCCCTGCTGGAAGCTACCCCCACCCCTCCCCCCCTTTCGTGCAAAGGGGGGGGGGGTGCTTGGAAGCTACCCCCCCCCCTTTGGCCGCCCCGGAAGTACCCCCCCACCACCCGCCCCCCTTTCAAAAAAGGAAGGGGGTGCTTAAGCTCTACCCCCCCCCCCCTCCCTTGGAGCCGCCCTTTGTGCCAAAGGGGGGGGGGCTTGGACCCCCCTCCCTTCCCCCCTTTGGCCGCCCAGCCCCCCAGAGCCCCCGCCCCCCCTTTCGCCGACGATCCAAAATCAACAATCCACGATCGAGGATGGACGAACGACGATCATCGATCGACGATCGAAAATCCCAATCGGGAGCTTTTGGATCTGTTCGGCCTCCAGAGGCCCTCAGCGGGCCCCGGGGCCGCCAAGAAACGACTCAAAATGAAAAACCGATCCCGGGGGCGGTCTCTGGGCGGGGGGCGAAAGTTGAGCGCGCTTGCCGGTGCGAGATTGTCTTTTTGTTTCTCGGAAGGCGGCCTGCGCCTGTCATTTTCCCCCCCGCGAGCTTCGCCCATGCGGCAGTTTGAAAACCCCTCGACGTCGCTCTGGGTTGGCTTTAAATTGTGTCTGAAGCGGCCGGGGTCTGGCCGCGCGATCATCGGCAACTTTTCTCTCTAACTACTTCCCTGGGCCACCCAACAAAAAAACGATTCGCATTGGTTTTTTCCGGGTCGCCAGGCCCCCCCTTCCTCCCGACGCTAGAAATGCTTTGAAACAATACAAAGGAAACGAATCTCTTCACAATCCCAAGGAATGCGCCCCTGAAGGCAGGTCAAGATGACTCCCCCTGCGCCCAATGCCAGCCCCAAAATGGTCCGAAGACTGGCACAAACTAGCCCAACATGACAGCGTATGGATTAAGACATCACAAGAAGGCATCGACACGGTCTGCAGGCGGTCCAAGACGACCCAAGAAGGGCCCAAGACGACTCGACACGGGTTCCGAAACGGCCCTAAACGCCCCGATGACAGCGCAGAGGCTCCGCGAGAGTCCCCCCGCGAGCCCATGGGAAACTCAAATCCTTCCAAAAACAGAAGAAAAAACGTTGAATGATTGCTCCCCCCGCCGCCTCGTTGACGATGAACCTCTGCGATTCCAACATGGCCCTCAGACGGCCCCACAAAATTCCAAGAGGAACCCCGCGCGCGCCGAGAGGCCCCCACGGGGCGTCCAAGAGACCCACGGAATCTCCGAGAGGCTCCCGAGAAGCCTCCACGAAGGCCTTAGAGGACCCCCAGAAGCTCCCAACAGCCAACAGGCTCCAGAATGGCCCCAGAAAGGGTTCCACGAGCGCCAGAAGACGTCCGCAAGAGCCTCCCAATACGGTCTCTGGAGGCCCCCAGGAGGGTCAAAGGTTCCAAGACTTTCGTCGGGAGGGCGGGGGGGGCCGGCGACCTGTAAAAACACATGATTTTCTCACCCTTTTCAGGTGGCCAGGGGGGGCGTTGGAAAAATATGTTGGCGCCCACAGGCGGCGCAGCGTGGCGGCTCGCATTGGTGTGGCGAGCAAAACCGCCGTCAGCAATTGCAGTTGGCGCCGCAATCTCTGCGTTCAGCTCCAGGCGCCCCCTGTAGCACGACAGTAGCACGGCGATCGCCAGCGCGCTGCCCCCCCCTTTCGCCCCCCCTCCCCGCCGGCGAAGCGCAAGTCCGACGCCATTGCCATACAGTCCTCCTCCCTCCCTCCTCTCACCTCCCCCACACGAGCCAAAGAGGAGAGAAGGGGGGGCTTCAAGCCCCCCCCCCCTCTTTTGCACCAAGGGAGGGAGGGGGGGGAGCTTCCAAAGCCCCCCCCCCCTTCCAAACGGGGGGGTGGCTCACTCCAGCTCCACTGAAAGAAGGGAGGGGGGGGGTAGCTTGGAAGCCTCCCCCCCCCTTTCCGGCCACGAAAAGAGGGGGAGGGGGGGGTAGCTTCCAAAGCCCCCCCCTTTCAAAGGGGAGGTGGCTCACCCCGGCTCAATTAAAGTGAAGGAGGGGGGGTAGCTTGGAAGCCCCCCCCCCCTCTCCGGCCACGAAAAGAGGGGGAGGGGGGGGGGGTCCGAAGCCCCCCCCCCTTTAGCAAGGAAGGGGGGAGTGGGGTAGCTTCAAGCTGGGGCCCCCCTTCTAGTCTGTCGGGCCCCACGAGCGCGGTCTATCCCAGTTGGTATTGCTAACATTGTTAAGCAACAGGTAATTGAGGCTAGACGCGCCATCCCCCAGGCTCAGATCACATACCTTCTTCAGTAAACCTAACTCGACTTCCTCAGCTACAGGCTGACTCGCGGATTTGGGACCCCAGTTGGTGGCTCGCGTTGACGAACGACCAGCTGGAGACAAACCACATTGCCCAAACAATACTTTCAGCGAAAGTGTATGATTATGGCGTCCGGTGTTTTGCAGCGCGGGATTCGGCCGTTACAGACCGCGCGGAAGAAGTCGATAGAAACGGCAAGCCTCCAAAGAGAAGCAAAAGGAATCACTTTCGATTGTTGAAGCACGAAGGCGCACGTAGGCGCTTGAAGCATACCGGGACCTGGGAAACCACAAGTACATGATTTCAACGAACGGCCGCACCTCTGTCGTCCATGGTGTTGGTTGTGGCATGGGGGGTCGGCAACTACGTACAAATAGGGTCACGCCCACAGGATCCCCTGACATGGACGCGCGGATCTGTTAGTCACTGGCAGCGCCTCTCCTCTTGTGGTACAGCTCGTGGTGGCCCGGCCCGTTGCCTTGTGTGCGCGACTCCGACCGCAGGTTCCCGCCCCACAGAGTCCCACCCATGCGGCAGAGAGTCCTCCTCGACACTACCCACCCTGCCCAGGTCCAGGCTGGATTGACTCTTGCGCGCCCCGCCCGGGTCCAAGTTGGTCTAGCTCTGGCTCCAAGTCGGGTTAATTATCCTAGCTCGGTATGCCACGCCCCGCCCATTGCCTCCAGGCACGTTCCTCGCGGAGGAGGAGGAGGAACACGACGGCGACGAGGAAGTGGAGGACGAACGACGACCACAAAGGCGACGACGACGAGAACGAGGTCGATTCCAGGGCAGTGGAGGAGGGTGATGAGTAGGAGGAGCGGGAGGCAGAGGAGGCCCTCTTGCTAGTGGCATCGGTGCGGCAACAACACCAGACCCTGACCGAGCAAGCCTCGTTTCGTACGGGTCGGCCGAGCAGCAGCCTGACCCCCACCCCCTGCTGATCCTCAAATCAGCGAATTTGAGCCAGCCCAGGAGGTGTTCCCAACCGCGCTGCCTCCGGGGCGGGCAGCGGGGCCGACGGGGCCGCTGGCGCCGCGGAGGCCGAGACATCCAGCGGGCCCTGCACCGTGTCCTCGAAATCGTCCGGGTAGTCGTCCGCGTCGGCGCCGGGGGCCTCGAGTCCCAAACCCCCGACGCCATGACGTTTGCCACAATGTGGATCCCAGGAGGTTTCGACCCGTTCCCTGGGACCAGCCCTCACTCTTCCTTGACCTTCCAGAGTGCAGAAAAGAAACCTCCTGAAACCTCAACAGGAATTGAGATGTCGAGGTCATGGTGCTATTTTTGAGCCCTCCTGGAAGGTCAGGGTTTGGCCTGCGGAGCCCGCAAGTTGCAGAAAACCTTCCGTCTGGCTTGTCTCACAGCGCGAGGGGGCCTCGAGGTGCCTGCTCGCCTCCTCCATCATCTCGTGGTCTGACGCGTCGCCCCCGCCCAGGTCGTCGTCCAGCAGCGGCGCGCCCAGGCCCACGGCCGCCCCGCCCCCGACGCCCACGCCAAGCTCGGGCGCAGGCTCTGGCGCCGAGGGCTCCACCGGCGCCGCCGGCGCGGGCGAGGCGGGCGCGGCGGGGGCCGGCGCCGGCGAGTCCGCCGTCGGCGCGGCTGGCGCCGGCGAGTCCGCCGTCGGCGCGGCTGGCGCCGGCGAGTCCGCCGTCGGCGCGGCTGGCGTCGTCGGCGATGCCGCCGTCGGCGCGGCCGGCGTCGGCGATGCCGCCGTCGGCGCGGCCGGCGTCGGCGATGCCGCCGTGGGCGCGGCCGTCGCCGGCGCTGCGGCGGGGGCGGGCGGCGGCCGCGCGGGGGCGCGGGCAGCGGCCGCCGGCGCGGCGGGGGGTGGCTGCGGCGCGCCGCTTGCGGGCGGCGGGGCCGCGGCTGGCGGCCGCGGGTGGGCGGCCGAGGCGCGGCTCGGCTGGGCGGCCGAGGCGCCTCGGGGCCGCGGGCCCGCGGGGCCGAGGCCGTGCGGGCGCCCTGGCCTGTCTTGCTGGCCGGGCGCGGCGCGGCCGGTGCCTTGGGCTGGCCCGCAGGGCCGCTCGGCGGGGCGGCCGCGGTGCCCGTCGGCGGCGCGGCGGCCCGGTGCTTCGCCGCGGCGGCCGGTGCAGTGCGGCGCAGGGCGGGGCTGGCGGGCGCCTTGCCGAGGGCTCTCCCTGACCTTCCAGCGTGCTGAAAAATAGCCCTCCAGACCCATAGACCTGCCTGGGCTGCCTCAGACCTCGGCAGGAATCAGGAATATCGAGGTCCTGGTGCTATTTTTTAGCCCTCCTGGCAGGTCAGGGCTGGCTCAGACTGGGGAGAGGATCGGGCGAGGGATCGCTGGATGGGGGACGTGAAGCGCCGCGGCCGATGGAGGGCCTGTCGAGTTGGGAAATCCTGGGCCGCCCGCCTCGCCTCGGCAGGGGGGAAGAACAAGAAGTGCGCCGGACTCTGAACATCTGAGGGCGAGTTCCTTCTTGTTCGGTGGCCCCATCGCAAATATTAAACCCACAAATAGACCTCCATTGCCGGGCATACGCAGGCGGGTCGCTCACCAGTCGAACGCAAACAGCCTGCGCACTACGCTATGGAGAGCAGCATTGTACCCTCCGACGCCGGCCCTGGAACAGCACCGGACCACCACAACATGCGAGCCGCCGGTGTAAGCAACTCACAGCTCGAGCACTCCACGCATATGATGGAGCGTGAGCATGCCCTTCTGTGAACTACGAACTGAAGCGCGGGTCTCACGCGAGATGGCATAGCGACCTTACGCCGCGGCTTACGCGGGCCGCCACCAGCGGCACGCCAGCACGAATGTTGGCAAAGAAGGCCCCATGTTTGGCGTCGCTGATGTGGTCCACCACTGCTGGGGTTCCCGACACGGTGCCGTGCGGTGACCTCGACATCCCCAGAAACATCACTGCGCGGTCCGCCGCCACAAGGTTTCGGGACATTTGAGGCCCCAGTCGCCCGAGACTTCCTCGGAGAACGACCCGTGTCCCAAAACCGCGCGCTCACCCCAGATCCACGAATCCCCACTGACTCACCACACGGTGTGGGCACCGAACCATACCATGTGGGGGCGCCCCCGAGCCACTCGCCTGCCCGCCTGCTCACCGCGCTCACCCACACGGACGCTTCGGGATCAGGAAGGCACGGAGGACCGGCGCCCTGACACGCGATGTCTTGATTTCCCCTTGCCGTCGCTCGGACGTCCATTTCCCGTGCACGTTTCGGTTTCGTGCGTGTTTTTTTTGCTCGATGGTCCAGGACGGTCCTCGATGGTTCTCACCGAGAAAACATGCACACGTCCGAGCGATGCCAAGTCCCCCTGTACAGGGCCCCTGGAATCCCGACCCGTTCTTTCCTTGGGGCTGGTCCTCCGTCCCGAGCCATTGTTTGACGGCCCTGGGCCCGGCGAAGGCCCACGGAGGCCGGAAGCGGCCAAAACCCTCTAACGTCGCGACGTTTGCCACGACGCGGGCACGTCTGGGCACGGAGGTGTGCGCGCGGCCGGGCCGGGGGGCGGCCTGCAGCGGAGCCGAGACGGCGCCGATCCTCATCGGCACGAGGGCCGTGGACGTCGCGGGCCGCTTCGTCGCATCCGGCTTGGTGGGCCCCTCGCACTGCTGACGTATTCGCTGGATCGCCGCCTGAGCTGGGACGGGAACGATGTCATGATAGGATGGGCTCAGGATACGTTCCAGGATGTCGACCATTGGCTGCCCTCGTCTCTGCAGCCCCTTGTGGAGCATCAGGAAACGCTGAAGTCCTGGAAATCGTGGAACGTATGATAATCATGACCTCTTGCTCCTCTGATGAGCGGACGCAGAATGGCATGGAGACCTTGTGTGATGGCTTGCGCGGGCCACCAGCGCGGCACGCTATCTCTCACGCTCCATCTTACGCAGGCGGCTCACGCCCGAATATCGGCGCAGTCAAACCCGTCTCTGCGTCGCCCACCTGACGGGACGCAGAATGACATACCATCACGGCAGATTCGCGTCGTGGCGTTCGGCGGCGACCCCGCCGCCAGCGTTCAACGTTGGACGCCGCCGGCGACCCAGAATCGGTCGATGTTGCACGATCTGACGTTTCGGAACTGGCCGATCGTTCAAAGTTGAGTGGTCCCCGCGGCGTCGAGAACCAACGCCGGGGTCGGCACGGCACAAACCTGCCCGGTTGTTGTTTGGAAGAACCTTCCCAAAACCTCCCGAGGACCATCCTCGGGGGAATTCTCTTCTGGAAGGCCCGCGCTGAAACCTCCCCCAAACCCCCCCCTCTGAAGAATTGTCTGCAAGGGCCTTCCTCGAACCCTGCAGAAACTGTCCTCGGTCCTCGGGGTGGTTGGTTGTTTTGAAGACTCATCCTACAATCTTCGGACTCGCCATCGCTCGGACGTCCATTGCCTGTGCTCTTTCCGATTCCGTGCGTGGCTTCTTCGCCAAGTGATCGAGGATGCTCCTCGATGGCCCTCGCCGAAGACAAAAAATGCACACGTCCGGGCGATGCCGAGCGGAACACTTGTCCTTGAACACCCAGGACATCCCGACGAGAAGCGTATGGCTTCTCGATGCGCGCCCGCACTCTGCACGCCCTCCCGCCCTGGGCAGCGTGCACAGCCCGCCGATCCTGGGCACTCGGGATCGGCCCGGCCAGGATCGCCGTGCAGTCGGGCTGCTGCAAGAAGGAGCGATAAACAAGGAACGAAGCCCCTTTTTGGCCCCACGAGCGCATGCGTGCACGAGGAAGGACAGAGGAAGAGCCGAGCGGAATAGCTGTGTCTGTGGGTTTCTTCCCCTCCTGAAGAATGGCTTGCGCTCACCGCGCTGCCCCGAGCAGCGCCGCGAACACGGCAGGACGGGGGCCTCTCCTGGCCACGGCGCGCGTCGGCCGCCCGCGGGGGTCCCCCGGCCCCTGGCCTGCGAACAGCGGGCGGCAGGCGCCCGCAGACCAGGGGCCCCTCGGGAGCCCCAAAGGTTACCAGCCTCGGCCTCGAACTTATCCCTATCCCTAGGATTGGCACGCCAAGAGGCGACGACAATCTCAGGGATGCGCCCTCAAAACAGAAGGGAATCCCTACGATTGGCACCGTGAGGAGGAGATGCCCAGCAGAGGGACAGGGATATGTTTCAGGCTGGTAGCAAGGGCGGTCCTCCCTGCAGCGACCGGGGAAACCAGAAGGCACCGATGCCGTCGGGCCGCCGAAGGAAGGAACGCGAAATCGGGAGCGAAGCCTCTTCTTGGCCGGTTATAAGCGCACCCGTGCCCCCGGGAGGGCAGGAGGAACAACGCCGGAGGAACCTGAGGGACCTCGAGCCCCTTCCGAACCCAAACTCTTCCTATAATGTCAGCGCCTTGGCTGTACCGCTGCGCCCGGGACCTCTCCCATGGGTGCGGTCTGACCGGGCCATCTCGGGGCCCTCCACGGCCCCAGGGCAGCAGAGAGACTGCCCAGGGTGAACCGCTTTTTGACCCGCGGGTCGAGGGCGCACCTCTTCCGGTCGAAGCCAAGCGGGCTGCGCGAAGCTTGAATTGGGCAGAGAAGAGGAGCCCAGGGTGAACAGCGGGTGCTGGGAAAGCCCAGGGGCCCAGGCCCCTGTGCCCCCTCCGGGAGCCCTCTCCCTCGCTGAAGGGGCCCTGGGACACACAAAAAAATAAATACACACTAAGAACAGGACTCCCCCATATTTTCGCACATTTTCTGGGCTTTGGTCTCCCCCCCCACTGCACATCTTTTCCCATATTTTCCTGGGAGTCGACGATTCATTGTGTCTGTGTGTCTCTTCCCCTCCTGACTCGTCGTGGCGGCCACGGGCCACGGGCTGGCCCGTCGTAGGGGATACTGCAGTATGCACGGCACACGGATGTGAAGCACGGGCGCTGCGCGACGGCCGCGCGGCGCACTGCATACGCCAAAGCTGGCACGAGCAGCGCGGGAGGCCACTCGCCATCGCTCGGACGTCCATTGCCTGTGCTTTTTTTCGATGTCGTGCGTGGCTTTTTCGCCACATGATCGAGGATGCTCCTCGATGGTCCTCGCCGAAGAAAAAATGCACACGTCCGAGCGATGCCGAGGCCAATCTCTGGGAAAACCGAAAGGGTACCGATATCGCTATACTCCCCGAACCTCTCCCGGGGCGCCTTCCCACCGGCACGTCGAGGCGAATCCGGCGGCGAGGACGAGGGCCTTCCAGAAGGCCCCCAGAGAGGGGAACGCGAGGCAAATGGGTAGCGGTGTGGGTACTCCTCTCCCTCCTCCGAATCGCAAAATCTCGAGGCATAAAAAGGACGGGCAGGATCCGAGGCCGGATCCCGGTCTGGCCGCCGGTCTGGCCGCCGGCCTGGCCCGAGGAGGAGGAGGAGGAGGAGGAGGAGGAGGAGGAGGAGGAGGAGGAGGAGGAGGAGGAGGAGGAGGAGGGGGAGCGGGAGAAGGAGGGGGAGGAGGAGGAGGAGGGCGGGAGGAGGAGGAGGGGGGTGGAGGAGGAGGAGGAGGAGGAGGAGGAGGAGGGAGGAGGAGGAGAGGAGGAGGAGGGAGGAGGGCAGGGGAGGGGGAGGGGGGAGGAGGAGGAGGAGGAGGAGGAGGAGGAGGAGCAGGAGGGGAGGAGGAGGAGGAGGAGGAGGGGCGCCCGGTCTGGCCGCCGGTCGCCGACGGCCTGGCA